CCATTCATGATATAATTAATCAATTTAATTCTTGTAATCTTTCCTTATTATAATTATAATTCCACACAGGATATTTTAAAGTTGCCAGACTTGCCACGTCATCTTGTTAATCTAACAACTCGTATATTGGTTCACTTGTAGAAGGTTTTTCTCTACATTTTTGCTTATCCCTGAATTCATTCACCATGTTCAGACTCGCTGTCCTCAGAGCCAGTCCAGAGGAAGAGCTTGGTACCCTTATTCGGGCTTACCAGAGCAGACTTGATTACACTCACCACTGAATACCACATTTCTCCCCCTCATGGTGCCACTAAATCTAAACTCCATAATTTAATTCTTGAGCACCTGTTAGAAAACGACATAATCACTCCAGAGATGCATGAACAACATCAGATTGCAGATAAGACCGCCCTGGCAGCCATGAAGTTGAAGATCGAGGTAGCCAACATAGAACGTGATCGTCAGAAGGAAGCTCTTCAGGTAAAAGAACGGGAAGCTGCCCTCCAGAGAGAACAATTTGAACTTCAAATCCAAATTGCTGAACAACAAGCTGCCCTCCAACGTGAAAGCGATCAAGAGAGACTGGAGCTCCGACGTCAAGAGCTTGACCTTGAAACCGCCCATGTCACTTAGCGCCAGGAAGCCGAAGTTAAACTCCCGGTACGTTTCAGTGTTTCACACGCCATTAAGTTAATGCCATCTTTTATAGGAACTGAGGTAGATGCATTCTTTACCTCCCTCAGGATCAGTGGTCTATGCTTCTCAGATCCCATTTGACAGGTAGAGCTGGGTTGACCCTCAATTCTCTGGCTACAAAGACTTACTATTATGTGTTGAAACAGGCAGTGCTTGATGCCTACCTCTTATCAATAGAGAGTTATAGACGTAGATTTAGGGACTACATCAAATCTAGTGCTACTACCTACCTAGAACTCTCCCAAAATAAGACAAGATATATAATGAAGTGGCTGGAATCAGCCCAAATCACTACCTTTGCAGATCTCCTCAACCTCAGCTTGATGGAAGAATTCCTTGGCCGTGTTCCTACTCCTATACGTCTCTACCTTTCAGACAAAGGAGAGACCAACCTTACTAAATGTGTGCAGCTGGCTGACACCTACAGTCTAATTCCCCGATCGGCATCAGACACACCTCCTGGTAAATCTTCTTGGTCCAGTCCTGCTGAAGTGAGTACTAGTGATGTGAACTACTCACTTTAGTGCATGGACATTCCATAGAAAAGTGTACCAATCCTCACTGTAAGTCCAGCCGTGAGGTCCAAAAGCTCAAACCACCACCACCTAAAATTCATAGGCCTGTTATGAATTTTCATGTTCCATCCTCTGATCTTTCTCTCTTCCACAGACACCTATACTCCGGAACTGTCTCTGTCAGCGGTGGAGATTCGGAGGGAAGGAACCAAGTGAACATCTTGAGGGACACAGCTGCTCTACAATCAATACTCCTCAAAGCAGCTGCACCCAATGTCACCTACTATAGGGGCCTCGTAGCCTGGTGGATAGCGCGCAGGACTCGTAATTCTGTGGCGCGGGTTTGATTCCCGCACGAGGCAGAAACAAATGGGCAAAGTTTCTTTCACCCTAAGTGCCCCTGTTACCTAGCAGTAAATAGGTACCTGGGAGTTAGTCAGCTGTCACGGGCTGCTTCCTGGGGTGTGTGTGTGTGTGGTGTGGAAAAAAGAAAAAAAAAAAAAAAAAAAAAAGTAGTTAGTAAACAGTTGATTGACAGTTGAGAGGCGGGCCGAAAGAGCAAAGCTCAACCCCCGCAAAAACACAACTAGTAAACACAACTAGTAAACACACCGGAGAAACCGTCCTCATCACTGACCTCACTGCAACCACTCCATACCCACTCGCCAGAGTCCACCTGGATTGTTCGTTCGTTCGTGGTGAAGTCCAAGTCGCCATCAGGGAGAAACCTTTCCCCATGCCTGGAATTCAACTTCTCCTGGGCAACGACTTGGCAGAAGAGCAAGAACCCACGAAGCTCATCATCAATGACAAACACAGGTATGTGACTCTTCCATGGAAAATCCTGTTATGAAATACGTTGCAGAGGAGGTCCAACCGACCAACGATTCTGAGGACATCTCCCAGCCAGTCATGGTGACGACACGTGCCCAAGCTGCTCGCCTGCAACCAGCCGCTCCAACTATCCCTCAAGATTCTCAGGGCCTCCGACCGAACCTCAACCTGTTGATATCCATCTTCAAGCCATACAGCATTACCCTCAACCTACCACACGGAAGCAGCTCATGTGCGTCCTATGATTAGCATCATATTATCGTAGATTCTGTAAAAACTTCAGTTCAGTGGCTACACCTTTCATCAACCTGACCAGCCCTAAGCAAAAATATATTTGGACAATTTCTCAATCTATTGCATTCGAGCAATTGAAGACTTTATTATGTACTAATCCTATTCTCGCCTCGCCAGATGTTACGAAGCCCTTCGTCCTCAATGTCGACGGCAGCAGCACCGGCATTGGAGGTGTCTTAATGCAGCAAGAGGGCGAGGCGATCCCCCAGTCAGCTACTACAGCTACAAGCTGAAACCACGTCAGAGGAACTATAGTACTGCTGAGGAGCTACTGGCCATCATCCTCTGTCTGCAACACTACCAACCATATCTCCAAGGTTACCAGACCATCAACATCTTTTAAGATCACAATCCTCTTCGGTTTCTGCAGCAGGCTCAGTTCTCCAACAAGCGCTTGCATCTCTGGGCCTTGTACCTGCAGAACTACAATCTCAACAACGTCTTTCAACTCTGGAAAGACACATATTTTTTCTTATGGTATACTAGCAGGGTACCCGGCGTTGTCCGGGTCTGTGTCTGTAGTATACTAGCAGGGTACCCGGCGTTGTCCGGGTCTGTGTCTGTATCTCTTTCTCTGCATTTCTCTCTCTTTATTTCTGTATCTCTTTATCTCCCTATCTCTCTCTTATATAAAAATACTAGCTGTACCCGGTCACGCATTGCTTTGGCTCAGCAATGCATGTGCGTTGCTGAGCCACAGCAACTCTTCCCTGTCCCCCCGTTCTCCACATCAGTTCCCCCCCCTTCCCCATCCCCTCGTCCTCTCCCTCCCCCGTCCCCACATCCCCCAATCCCCTCGTCCTCCCCACTCCCCCGTCCCCTCATCTTCCCCATCACTCCCCCCTACCTCACCCCTCGTCCTCCCCACCATCCCCCACTCCCCTGTCCCCTTGTCCTCCCCACTATTCTCCACTCCCCCGTCCCCACCATCCCTTGTCTCTTTGTCCTACCCACCATTACCGCCTCCCTATCCACTCATCCTCCTCTGCCATCCTCTCGTCCTCCTCACCATTCCCCACTCCCTCATCCGATGTGTTCCCAAATGATCTGATGTTTTCTTCAGAAAAATTGGATCATCAAATGATCTGATGTTCCCATCACTGAAAAATATAAAGAACAGTTAAAAAACGAAATGAAAAATATGAAAAAAATAAAAAAATAAACTATACTCGCGAAATGAACGGTATGGTAAACAACACAGCTCAATTCCAATGCTGTGTCACACAAAATAATTAAATCAAATTGAAAATAAATCGAAATGTATGAAAATTCAATTTATCAGTAGAATCGGAAAAATTGAAATGGAATCGTATCATATTCTGTATGGCGTGTGTGGCATTTACATGCAACAGATAGTGCTGTTTAATTTTTTTTTTTTATACCTGTCACAGGTGTGGCATCTATATAGTAGGTATATAAAAATACATGCGTATTTGAGTGGACCGTTGTGTCAACATTTCAAAGCAATCCGTGAAGAACTTTCGGAGATTACTACGTGTGTTGCTCTTACATCCAACAGATGGCGGTTTTATAAAAAAGCATTTTTTACCTGTCACAGGTGTGGCATGTATATAGGCAACGTTGTGTCAAAATTTCAAAGCAATCGGTAAAGAGGTTTCGGAGATTAGCGATTTCGAACAAACGAACATTTTCACTTTTATTTATATAGATAATTGCCTATCATTGACGTGTGGGTGGTCACCAGTAGGAAGAGTTTAGAGTGTGAATATATATATATATATATATATATATATATATATATATATATATATATATATATATATATATATATATATATATATATATATATATATATATATAAAATAGAACACTTACCTATTTATTTAAGATAGTGTAAGGCTTAAGACAGGTTTTGGAGCTGTGGAAAGATCGTCTGTTTTATGCTACAACGGCCAAAGTATGAGGAGCAGGAAATTTCTGTTAATTTATTTTCGAGAACAGTGAATAATTGTGTATATTACTGTAAGGACCAAAAAAATAATTTTTCAGTTGTTATTTTCAAAAATATTTAACTAAGTGTAGCATAGCCTGCGGGCAGTGCCATAACCCGAGGAGGTGGTCAGGATGTGACCCTGGCACCGACTAACCTATGCCCGTCCAGTGCCTCGGACCATTCCCTCATGCAAATTTAGGTGAGGCTAACACTGCCCGCCGGCTACACCTACCAAAATATTTTCAAAACCAACATTTCAAATGATTTTTTTTCTTGTAGAAATATGCACATGTTTCACTGATCTGAGAACTAACAAAACATTCCAGCTATTCACAGTAAGGTTGTAGCCTCATTAAACATGTTACTTCAATTCAACCCCCTCTCTCCTCTGCCAGAGAAAACAAAGCCGACCTCTGATTCGAATGGAAACTATTATATTGTGTTTTATGCCATTAATGATAAAGACTTAATGACATGCGCTCTTATTGTATTATTAGTAATATTGTAGGAGAGAGATCCAGAGATAGATATAAACTGATAGGGATAGAGAGACAGAGGGACAGAGATAGAAATAGAAAGACAGATATATATATATATATATATATATATATATATATATATATATATATATATATATATATATATATATATATACATACATATATATTTATATATGTATATGTAGCTATATTAAAAGAAAATCAATACCAGTTTCTTGTTATTTTTATTATAAACTCAACAAAACATTGCATGGGGGGGGGGGGACACGTGCGTACATGATACATTGTATCTTACTAATCTCAGCATAGCTGGCAGTAGGCTTACAAAACCGGCACAAGGTTTATTTAACATAGCTGACAGTAGGCCTATTTAATATAGCTGTAGGCCAAATTAGCATAGCTGGCAGCAGGCTTACTGAATACAGCTCGCTGTAGATCTGATTAACATTCTTTTTAGGCCTTCTTAACTTATTATCATGGTTGGCAACAGACCTACTTAGCATGGCTGACAGAAGGTCTCCTTAGCACAGCTGACAGTAGTGTGTTCTTTAACACAGGTAGTAGTAGTAGGCTACAGGGGGATCGAAGGAACTTCCTAGCCTGGAAAAGTTCTCATAATCCAAATTTGTTTCCTATATACAGAAGCAAAAATATATTTTGTTCGATTATACATTAGGATTATAAATATTATATACTGAATTATTTCAAGTGTCGCAATGAAAATATAGTAAGGCATAGGGCCGCATATACAGTATGTGCATAGACCTATGACGGCCCGGGGACACAATCTTGCAACTAGGCCCTGGAAGACGTCTTCCTGGGACACTGTCTCAGAACACGACACACACGATGTGCGTGTCCTTGGCCAGGACACGTGTGTCCTTGGGCAGGACACGTTTCTCCTTGGGCAGGACACGTTTCTCCTTGGGCAGGACACGTTTCTCCTTGGGCAGGACACTTGTCCAAAGGGTGTGCGAGGTGGGCCCCGTCGACAGCCTTCTACAGCTTCGCCACAATTGAAATCTTGAAATAACGTCATACAGGACTAACAATATGGAAGTATAAATGGCACAGTTAGAATAGGATCCTCGACTAGACAACTCGTGACGTGTCTACAGCCACCACCAGGCAAAAATATAAACTAGTATTAAATCTTTGGCATTATAACAATTTATGTGAAAACACCGAATCACTCACAATGATCAAAAAGCACTTGTTAAATAGTGTGAAGGAAAGGCACTTCTTCAGAAGCCACACATGCCCAGGTCACGCTGAAGGGGACAAGGTTGATGTGCTTCCCGCTCCAGCAACAGCCTGGTCCACCTGCTGGCGCCGCCTGGCATTCACCTGAAGATGGCTGCAGGCGCCACCTGGCACCTCCTGAAGATGGCCGCAGGCGCCACCTGGCACCTCCTGAAGATGGCCGCAGGCGCCACCTGGCACCTCCTGAAGATGACCGCAGGCGCCACCTGGCACCTCCTGAAGATGGCCGCAGGCGCCACCTGGCACCTCCTGAAGATGGCCGCAGGCGCCACCTGGCACCTCCTGAAGATGGCCGCAGGCGCCACCTGGCACCTCCTGAAGATGGCTGCAGGCGCCACCTGGCACCTCCTGAAGATGGCCGCAGGCGCCACCTGGCACCTCCTGAAGATGGCTGCAGGCGCCACCTGGCACCTCCTGAAGATGGCCGCAGGCGCCACCTGGCACCTCCTGAAGATGGCTGCAGGCGCCACCTGGCACCTCCTGAAGATGGCCACAGGCGCCACCTGGCACCTCCTGAAGATGGCTGCAGGCGCCACCTGGCACCTCCTGAAGATGGCCGCAGGCGCCACCTGGCACCTCCTGAAGATGGCTGCAGGCGCCACCTGGCACCTCCTGAAGATGGCTGCAGGCGCCACCTGGCACCTCCTGAAGATGGCTGCAGGCGCCACCTGGCACCTCCTGAAGATGGCTGCAGACGCCACCTGGCACCTCCTGAAGATGGCTGCAGGCGCCACCTGGCACCTCCTGAAGATGGCTGCAGGCACGACGATGGACTCAAGGCACACTGTGGTCTCCCGCGGGCTCCAAGGAAGACCACACACACACACACACAAGGTGGCGGTGCAGGTATCTTCAGCAGCAGGTGGTGGCAGGTAGGTCACCTGGGAAGACGACCTGGAGGCTCACTCTGGCTCCTTCAGAGGTAACCTGGAGAGAAACGTGAATGTCTCTTATTTGTGTTATATACACAACCGGTTCTCCTGTGTAGATAGTGCTTTTTGTAGCCATGTAGACCATCGTATATATTGACCAATAGACAAGTAGATAGTAGCATTCAGCTAATATTTTTTTTATTTTTGGTTACGTTTGTAGGGATCCTCGGCCTCGAAGAAGACGATATGAAGCATCCGGGAAGTCTTGTGGAGCACCCGAGTACACCCGCATGTTGTCTTCTCCTACCACCCCTATATTTCTTGTATTGGTCATTTTATTTTATTTAAAACTTCATTACACAAAAAGGTGTATATTGGCAGTATACTGCCAGTATACACTATTATACTTTTTATTATACAATTATAATATAATAATATAATAATAAAAATCCTATAATATTTGTTCTATTATAATATTATAACCAATATTATATATTGGTGTATACTGGCAGCCAGTTTTAATTTATACATGTTTCATTAAATATGACAGCATATTCTGTGTTGATTATTTTCTTGTTTAGGGCTTCTATCCCTCTGACTAGTGCTCTTCCATCTTGGTTTAATTGGAAGAGGATTTCTCCAAATGTCATCTTTGTTCTAGGCAAACTAAAATATAATTAACTGCAGAATGTATTACACTAATTATAAATTTACACAATGTTTCGAGCCTACATTTTTTTTTTTTTTTTTTTTTTTTTTTTTTTTTTTTTTGAGATATATAGAAGAGTTGTTACATTCTTGTACAGCCACTAGTACGCGTAGCGTTTCGGGCAAGTCCTTAATCCTATGGTCCCTGGAATACGATCCCCTGCCGCGAAGAATCGTTTTTTCATCCAAGTACACATTTTACTGTTGAGTTAAACAGAGGCTACAGTTAAGGCTTTGCGCCCAGTAAATCCTCCCCGGCCAGGATACGAACCCATGACATAGCGCTCGCGGAACGCCAGGCGCCATGGTTCATATACAGTATGTACATAGACCTATGACGGCCCGGGGACACAATCTTGCAACTAGGCCCTGGAAGACGTCTCCCTGGAACACTGTCCCAGTATGTACATAGTACGTCTTTCTTCACTGAAGAAAAACATAAGCAATATCGAGAAGATTCGTGCCAGAATGACAAATCTACATTTTTCTGTCGTTTTCAACGAAATATGTTTAACTGTAAGACTGCTACCATATATATATATATATATATATATATATATATATATATATATATATATATATATATATATATATATATATATATATATATATGTCGTACCTAGTAGCCAGAACGCACTTCTCAGCCTACTATGCGAGGCCCGATTTGCCTAATAAGCCAAGTTTTACTGAATTAATATATTTTCTCTAATTTTTTTCTTATGAAATGATAAAGCTACCCATTTCATTATGTATGAGGTCAATTTTTTTTTATTGGAGTTAAAATTAACGTAGATATATGACCGAACCTAACCAACCCTGCCTAACCTAACCTAACCTATCTTTATAGGTTAGGTTAGATTAGGTAGCAGAAAACGTTAGGTTAGGTTAGGTTAGGTAGGTTAGGTTGTCGAAAAAACATTAATTCATAAAAACTAGGCTTATTAGACAAATCGGGCCTTGCATAGTAGGCTGAGAAGTGAGTTCTGGCTACTAGGTACGACATATATATATATATATATATATATATATATATATATATATATATATATATATATATATGTCGTACCTAGTAGCCAGAACGCACTTTTTGGCCTACTATTCAAGGCCCGATTTGCCTAATTAGCCAAGTTTTCCTGAATTAATACATTTTCTCTAATTTTTTTCTTATGAAATGATAATGCTACCCATTTCATTATGTATGAGGTCAATTTTTTTTTATTGGAGTTAAAATTACCGTAGATATACGACCGAACCTAACCAACCCTACCTAACCTAACCTAACCTATCTTTATAGGTTAGGTTAGGTTAGGTAGCCGAAAAAGTTAGGTTAGGTTAGGTTAGGTAGGTTAGGTAGTCGAAAAACAATTAATTCATGAAAACTTGGCTTATTAGGCAAATTGGGCCTTGCATAGTAGGCTGAGAAGTGCGTTCTGGCTACTAGGTACGACATATATATATATATATATATATATATATATATATATATATATATATATATATATATATATATATATATATAAGAAAGAATGTCTGTTTGTAAATTTCTCTGTCTGTCTAAAGTTGGAGGCCAGATGCTTGAGGCTAACCTCACCCAGATTTGCAGGGGGAATGGACTTGAGTACGGGACAGACATAGGCTGGTTGGGCTAGGTCTAGATGAACCAATTATATACATCTCCAGGAGATTTTCATGATATCAAGTGTGAAATATATGGTGTGATTACCATAGAGTTTGAGTGATAGTAACAATATATTTTCAGAAACCCATACAGGTAGTTGTTTCAGTGTCTCTTAATAATAAATTATCAGGGAGAAGGGGAGAGGGGAGGGTTGGGGACCAAGGCAATGGGGACGAGGGGGTCATGGGGAAGATAGTGTGAAGAGGAGGTGGGGGGGGGGGGAAGAGACCCGGGTGCAGCCGGGTACTCCTTCAAAATATATAAATGAAAATGTCTGTTCGAAGCTGGAGGAAGAGGGGGAGGGTAGGGTAGGGAGATGGGAGGAGGGAGGTGGAGAGGGGAGTGCTGTGGGCATATACCCAGGTGTAAGGGAGGTACAGGACACATACCCAGGTGTGAGGGAGCTACAGGACACATACCCAGGTGTGAGGGAGCTACAGGACACATACCCAGGTGTGAGGGAGCTACAGGACACATACCCAGGTGTGAGGGAGCTACAGGATACATACCCAGGTGTGAGGGAGCTACAGGATACGTGCCCAGGTGTGAGGGAGCTGCAGGATACATGCCCAGGTGTGAGGGAGCTACAGGATACGTGCCCAGGTGTGAGGGAGCTGCAGGATACATGCCCAGGTGTGAGGGAGGTGAGGCAGACAACTTACCCTACACCCGCCAGAGGAGAAGCAAGGCGAGGCCAGCCATCACGGAGACAGCAGAGTTACCCCCTCCACCGCCCGTTTTCACTGGAAAATCACAACAACAATGACGGAACATAGAAAACAGAAAGCAGGGTAGGCTTTCATATTTTCAAAATTACTGACTATATCTGTGAAAAGCATAATTATATTTTGTTTAACTGGCAGACAAGAAATATATTGGTACCTCGTCTTAGATGGCCTTCAGGCACTCGAGACAGGATGTGCTGAGGGTTACACACACACACACACACACACACACACACACACACACACACACACACACACACACACACACACACACACACACACACACACACACACACACACACAACAGTGGCTTACCTTCTCCCGCAACTGGTCGGACTCCTGTGGAAGGTGAATACATTACTACAGTAATATGTATATTAAAGTCACTAAATATGTATATTATTATTATTATTATTAAATTCCGTCACCGCAATAATATTAAATTATTATTATATCAGCCACCGTAAAGTTATACATATATGAGATATGTGAAAGTTGTACAACGTGGTCGGTGCAAAATATACCCCTGGCTCGCAATATATGACTGATTGACTGATTGGCTCACTGATAACTAAGTGATTGAGTGTAACACAAGGCAAGGAGGTCATTAGTAAATGACCACATGTGACAAGGAGCAGATGGTAGGTGAGATACGCGTGTAGATCAAATTATTATGTATATAGGACATTATACACCCCTTACAATGATAGTATAATAATTGAGTGCGTCGGGGGGCAGGAAGCCAGAGTGTATTCACGTTAGGCTTATATTTAGGCGCGAAGGAGGGGCATTGGGGTAGTGCCTTCCTTCATGGGGGACACAGGGCCCACCCTTCCCTGTAATCCTAGCGAGGAAGGAGTCTTATTTAGCGAGAATGTCAATTATTCTGACATGCCAAGGTGGGCACGGGGCCCCCCGACCCGGACCCTCGGACCCTCCTCAGACAACCAGACATTCTCTTTTATAGATAAAGATATCTTTAACATTATTGTCCTAGTTGTGTTCCAATGATTTAACATGATTTCCGGCTTTCTATATTGTGAAAATCTCGTCAATAGAGAGTTTACACCGCGGCCCTGAGAGGGCGCTCACTGGAGACATTCCTATACATTGTATGGCCGGCTTGAGGGGGTGGGAGTGTAAGGAAGAGAGGGAGGGAGTATAAGGGAGGGGAGTAAGGGAGGGAGGGAGAGTAAGGGAGGGAGGGAGTGTAAGGGAGGGAGGGAGTGTAAGGAAGGGAGGGAGGGAGAGTACTCACTAGGATGGTACTCGGTGTCGGAGAGGACCTGGACCTCAGTGTCGGGGATGGTGACCAGACACTCGAACACTGTAGGACCGTCCAGGTCATCGTCCCTGACCGTCGCCTCCACCGTCAGGTTGTAACTGCCTCGCGACCACGAGTTGACCTCCTTCACCGCGCTCAGCGCCACGCTGCAAGGAGGGACAACTCACAATTTACAAGAAGAGCCTCTACACTTATAGCTCCGGCCATTGCATGGCTCCAATGCAACGGAAGCCATGCAATGGCCCTCCAAACCTTTCTTGACATTCTACAAGAATAAGAGTAACAACATCCTTGCCACTAACCACATCCATCAACTTCCTGCCCACCAAACACACACACACACACACACACACACACACACACACACACACACACACACACACACACACACACACACACACACACACACACACACATTCAGATCAACATTTGCACAGTTTGCAACACCACAACAACAACAATGGATCCGGATAACACTGTTGCAAATAGTTTGCCACATATGTCAATGGTTTCAGATAGAGAGAACTCTCGCCCGGTTTCTGAACCCAATATAAGCAGTGGTTACACTATCCTAAAGTGGCGTTGGTTTGACGTAGAATCATCCTTGATGACTCTTGTGACTGTCAGCTAACCTCTCAGTGATGGGTGACTGTCAGCTAACCTCTCAGTGATGGGTGACTGTCAGCTAACCTCTCAGTGGTGGGTGACTGTTAGCTAACCTCTCAGTGGTGGGTGACTGTCAGCTAACCTCTCAGTGATGGGTGACTGTCAGCTAACCTCTCAGTGATGGGTGACTGTCAGCTAACCTCTCAGTGATGGGTGACTGTCAGCTAACCTCTCAGTGATGGGTGACTGTCAGCTAACCTCTCAGTGGTGGGTGACTGTTAGCTAACCTCTCAGTAGAGGGTGACTGTCAGCTAACCTCTCAGTGGTGGGTGACTGTCAGCTAACCTCTCAGTGGTGGGTGACTGTCAGCTAACCTCTCAGTGGTGGGTGACTGTCAGCTAACCTCTCAGTGGTGGGTGACTGTCAGCTAACCTCTCAGTGATGGGTGACTGTCAGCTAACCTCTCAGTGGTGGGTGACTGTTAGCTAACCTCTCAGTGATGGGTGACTGTCAGCTAACCTCTCAGTGATGGGTGACTGTCAGCTAACCTCTCAGTGATGGGTGACTGTCAGCTAACCTCTCAGTGGTGGGTGACTGTTAGCTAACCTCTCAGTGATGGGTGACTGTCAGCTAACCTCTCAGTGATGGGTGACTGTCAGCTAACCTCTCAGTGGTGGGTGACTGTTAGCTAACCTCTCAGTAGAGGGTGACTGTCAGCTAACCTCTCAGTGGTGGGTGACTGTCAGCTAACCTCTCAGTGGTGGGTGACTGTCAGCTAACCTCTCAGTGGTGGGTGACTGTCAGCTAACCTCTCAGTGGTGGGTGACTGTCAGCTAACCTCTCAGTGGTGGGTGACTGTCAGCTAACCTCTCAGTGGTGGGTGACTGTCAGCTAACCTCTCAGTGGTGGGTGACTGTCAGCTAACCTCTCAGTGATGTGTGACTGTCAGCTAACCTGTCATTGCCTGCAGACCGCTGACGGAGACGCAGGAGGGGCTGGGGGAAGACGTGGTCCACCTGACACAGGACAGTGACGTGGTCGTCGTCCTGCTCCTCCGTCCACACCTTCACGTCCTGGGGCTCGCCTGCAGGAGACGGGTAAGGGGGGGGGGACACTGGTTAGTGACACTGTCTACAGCTCATTGGGTTGACGAAGGCTGGAAAGTGGGCACTGCAGGTCGCAAACCCACATCAGAGAGCCTTCCAGTCCCAGCCCTCATATTCCTCCTGTCTCAAGCCCAGCCCTCATATCCTATGGATAGAGAGATAACAGGCCTGAGTACAGTGTAGTGGTAGAGGGAGGAGTACAGTGTAGTGGTGGAGGGAGGAGTACAGTGTAGTGGTGGAGGGAGGAGTACAGTGTAGTGGTGTAGGGAGGAGTACAGTGTAGTGGTGTAGGGAGGAGTACAGTGTAGTGGTGGAGGGAGGAGTACAGTGTAGTGGTGGAGGGAGGAGTACAGTGTAGAGGTATAGGGAGGAGTACAGTGTAGTGGTGTAGTGAGGAGTACAGTGTAGTGGTGTAGGGAGGAGTACAGTGTAGTGGTGTAGGGAGGAGTACAGTGTAGTGGTGGAGGGAGGAGTACAGTGTAGTGGTGGAGGGAGGAGTACAGTGTAGTGGTGTAGGGAGGAGTACAGTGTAGAGGTATAGGGAAGAGTACAGTGTAGTGGTGGAGGGAGGAGTACAGTGTAGAGGTATAGGGAAGAGTACAGTGTAGAGGTATAGGGAAGAGTACAGTGTAGTGGTGGAGGGAGGAGTACAGTGTAGAGGTATAGGGAAGAGTACAGTGTAGTGGTGGAGGGAGGAGTACAGTGTAGAGGTATAGAGAAGAGTACAGTGTAGAGTTATAGGGAAGAGTATAGTGGTGAGGGAGGAGTACAGTGTAGAGAAGGGTTGGACCCTACAGGTTGGAGCCCACACCTGGCTACACTCGCAGGTGTGTCTCAGCCACATGTGATCAGACTCAGGCAGGCAAATGATTAATGAATTATTGGAGTAATACCTCTACATGACCTGTATTGTCTTGTTTACCCTGATTACTGCCTGCCAGTGGTGCTGCCTGCACACTGACCTGCAGTGTTGCCTGCACACTGACCTGCAGTGTTGCCTGCACACTGACCTGCAGTGTTGCCTGCACACTGACCTGCAGTGTTGCCTGCACACTGACCTGCAGTGTTGCCTGCAGTGTTGCCTGCAGTGTTGCCTGCACAGTGTTGCCTGCAGTGTTGCCTGCACAGTGTTGCCTGCAGTGTTGCCTGCACACTGTTGCCTGCAGTGTTGCCTGCAGTGTTGGCCTGCAGTGTTGCCTGCACAGTGTTGCCTGCAGTGTTGCCTGCACAGTGTTGCCTGCAGTGTTGCCTGCACAGTGTTGCCTGCAGTGTTGCCTGCACACTTGCCTGCAGTGTTGCCTGCACAGTGTTGCCTGCAGTGTTGCCTGCAGCGTTGCCTGCACACTGACCTGCAGTGTTGCCTGCACACTGACCTGCAGTGTTGCCTGCACACTGACCTGCAGCGTTGCCTGCACACTGGCCTGCAGGGTTGCCTGCAGTGTTGGCCTGCAGTGTTGCCTGCACACTGTTGCCTGCAGTGTTGCCTGCACACTGACCTGCAGTGTTGCCTGCACACTGACCTGCAGTGTTGCCTGCACACTGACCTGCAGTGTTGCCTGCACACTGACCTGCAGTGTTGCCTGCACACTGGCCTGCAGTGTTGCCTGCACACTGACCTGCAGTGTTGCCTGCACACTGACCTGCAGTGTTGCCTGCACAGTGTTGCCTGCAGTGTTGCCTGCAGTGTTGCCTGCAGTGTTGCCTGCAGTGTTGCCTGCATACTGACCTGCAGTGTTGCCTGCATACTGACCTGCAGCGTTGCCTGCACACTGGCCTGCAGCGTTGCCTGCACACTGGCCTGCAGCGTTGCCTGCACACTGGCCTGCAGTGTTGCCTGCACACTGGCCTGCAGCGTTGCCTGCACACTGGCCTGCAGTGTTGCCTGCAGTGTTGACCTGCAGTGTTGCCTGCAGTGTTGCCTGCAGTGTTGCCTGCACAGTGTTGCCTGCAGCGTTGCCTGCACACTGACCTGCAGCGTTGCCTGCACACTGACCTGCAGCGTTGCCTGCACACTGACCTACAGCGTTGCCTGCACACTGGCCTGCAGTGTTGCCTGCACACTGACCTGCAACGTTGCCTGCACACTGGCCTGCAGTGTTGCCTGCATACTGACCTGCAGTGTTGCCTGCACACTGACCTGCAGTGTTGCCTGCATACTGACCTGCAGTGTTGCCTGCACATACTGACCTGCAGTGTTGCCTGCACACTGACCTGCAGTGTTGAGTTTGCCAAAACAGCATTTTAAAAGCATGAACATTGATAAAAATTGTGAACATAAATGAACTTGTTTGCTCAAAAAGACAAGCGAGGAATGTACGCCAGTCTATTAAGACGAGTATTTCATGACACTGGCCGCTATATAATTTTCTTTACACAATCAAATTTATACAAAGAAATTGTATTCCTTTAACAGATTCGGGAGGTCAGTTGGCGTCACATATTTCAGGCAAGAGGGAAGTGTGTCAGATGTGTAAAGACAGGTGTGGACTCACTGTATACAAGGAGCCGCTGGGTGTATAACTTCTCGTCGGCGAAGGAGGAGATGCTGCAGGTGTAGAGGCCGGCCAGCTCCGTGGTGGGGCGCAGGATCTTGAGGGCTCGGTGGCGCTGGAGGGCGTCCTCTGACACCTCGAACTGCAGGTCCAGACGACCCTCCAGGATCCCCGTGGCCTGTACCGGGCACAGTACTCAGTCAGTGGGGCACAGTACTCAGCAGCAGACTAGTTGGGGAGTTGACTTCCCCTAAACTCAGTGGCTTTACAAGAATGTAAAACATCAAGGCTTTTTACTCTCATAAACCCAATGTAACTTCTTGTATATGTATAAATATAAATAAATAAGTATAGGTTGTAGTGGGTTGCCTGGTGCAGTCACCTCATCAGAACTGGGTATACCTCACAGGTATACCAGGGTATACCCAAGCTTCCTCGTCTATACCTCGCTCACCACCGTGTTGTCACCGCTGTTAGGTAACAAAATGTCGTTGTCACCTAACAGCGACAATATTTCAGGTTCTCATTTGATTATTTCCATGGATTTAGTAAACAAATTAAATAATCTACCAATCCATCCGGATGTTAAAGTAATCAGTTTTGATGATCGTTCTTTATTTACTAACGTTCCAATAGATAATATCACTAATTACCTGTCATGTGATCTAATTAAACTTACCTGTTTCCTAATATCATCGTCAGTACACAGAGTAATCACACTCCCCATAGGTTCGAACACCTACCTGCGGGACATGGGTATACCTCACCTGCGGGGCATGGGGCCGGGTATACCTCACCTGCGGGGCATGGGGCCGGGTATACCCCACCTGCGGGGCATGGGGCTAGGTATACCTCACCTGCGGGGCATGGGGCTAGGTATACCTCACCTACGGGACATGGGGCCCGAGTATACCTCACCTGGGGAGCATGGCGGCCGGAGATCCACTGGTAGACCGCTATAGGGTTGTTGAGGTGGAACCACTTGATGACCAGTCCAATGTTGTCCTCAGCCTCGAGGACGAAGGGACAGTCGAGGACGACGTGGTCGACGGTGCCGTTCTCGACCACCTGCAGGCCCGGCTCCTCCACCACCTGGATGCCCCCAGCGCCACCTGCCGCAACCAACAGCAACACATACATAAACAACGGAGCTTAGATTCTTTTTGGAGGAGGAACTTATCTATTTTGTTTCATGTATATGAAACTCTACATGTCCCAGAAGTATACCCTTCACCTCCCGTCTCAGAAGCATAACCCTTCTTCATCTCCGTCCCAGAAACATAGCCTTCATCTCCCAAGAAGATATATTGAGATTGTTTCTGACAAGAAGTGTCACCCAGCGTTGTGTGTGTGTTGTCTCAGCACATGAGACAGCACCGTGGTCACCAATCTCAGTTTAGTGGCAAGTGTTCCGTGACAGGTGTCATGTGCAAGTTGCTGGGAGTGTGCCGTGACAGGTGTGGTGTGCAGGTGTGGCGTCAAGCCGAGCTCTCAACTGACAGGTCGCGTTTCTTATGTCATCACAACCAACGTTACCAAAACAAACATATTAAAAAAGTTACGGGTCAAAAATACTTAGGTTTTCTATGCATCTCACTCGACAAGTATGGTGGGTTGCTTGGGTTCGTGCGCTTCTAGCTAGGCTTAAAGGTTGGATTTTTTACGGAGTGGCAAATCCAGGTAGGATCACCTGCGTCCTCAACACAGCCTGCCTCTCTACCTCATAATATTAATAATAAAAATTATTATTACCTCATAATATTAATAATAAAAATTATTATTATTATTATTGTTATTAATCACAGAGAAATCACATTAATGTGTTGTGTCAATGATAAAATCAGTAGGAGCCTATAAGGATTCGAACCTAAGCTCTGGGTACTCACAAGCACACGCCTTAGACCACTAGGCCACGACATGAACCCTTGAACCCTACAGGATTCGGTTGAATCCCAGGTTGCAATACATTTTTGTTACCATGTCGTTGCCTAGTCGTCTAAGGCGTTTGCTTGGGGGCTTGGAGGAACGGGGGAGGGAGGGGGGAGTCACGCTTCTTGCAAGTCGGCGTTCAATCCCCGACCGTCCAAGTGGTTGAGCACCATTCCTTCCCTTCGTCCCATCCCAAATCCTTATGACCATATCCCTTCCAAGTGCTGTATAATCATAATGGCTTAGTGATTCTGCTAATAATTGCCATTGGGAGTACCCACAGCATAGTTATTATTATTATTATTATTATCATTTATTATCATTTATTATCATATTTGTATTATTTTTAGTATTATTACCGTGGGCAGGAGCCAGGTGAAGGCGGGTGGGTGGGCCACAGGGGAGATCTTGGCACACTCTCCCTCACTCACTCTTTATTTTGGTCAACACACTCAACTTGTACCAGCAAGTGTGTCAGACACACTCAACTTGTACCAGCAAGTGTGTCTGACACACTCAACTTGCACTCACACCTGCTGGTGCAAGTTAAGTGTGTGTGTGTGTGTTTACTATTTGTGTCTGCAGAATAGAGCAATTAGCTCTTGGACGCCGCCTTTCTAACCAATCTATTTTCCTCTATTATATCTACAACATATATTCAACACACACACACACACACATATTCCCAGGAAGCAGCCCATAGCAAGTGTCTAACTCCCAGATACCTATTTACTGCTAGGTGAAGAGGGGCATCATGGTGAAACTAAACCCGTCCTCGACTCAAGTCCATCACATAAAGCAACCCGTCCTCGGCTCAAGTCCATTACATCCAGCGGTCGACCCCACAGACGCATTCATAAATTTTAACATGCTGTTCATTCAAAACGGGAATTTTCTCAAGTATAAATTAATATTATAATATATTAGCATATTGTGCATATATAGGCATAGGTTAGGTTAGGTTAGGTGTTTGGGTTCTGTTGGCGATTATTTGTATTTGTAATACGTGGGTGAAGCATTTACAGCGTTGTGGTTCGAACAAAATTCGTCAGTGAAGCACTTGTTCCGGAAGTGTTCGAACGAAATCAGTTGTGAGTCGTGTGTAAACCGTTTTTCATTCATAAACAGGGGGTTTGGCGGGTGCATGGAATCACTTTTTTATCTTTGTTTGGAGGACGGGCTGCATAAAGCGGTCAACCCCACACACTCATTCATAAATTTTTACATGTTGTTCATTCAAAAAGGGAATTGTCTCAAAAATAGACAATATAGGTAATATTATAATATACAGTATAGGTAATATTATAATATATTAGCATATTGTGCATATATAGGCATAGGTTAGGTTAGGTGTTTAGGTTCTGTTGGCGATTATTTGTATTTGTAGTACGTGGGTGAAGCATTTACAGCGTTGTGGTTCGAACAAAATTCGTCAGTAAAGCACTTGTTCCGGAAGTGTTCGAACGTCATCAGTTGTGAGTCAGTCCGTCCTGCAAACAAAGATCCAAAAGTGATTCCATGAACCCGCCAAACCCCCTGTTTATGAATGAAAAACGGTTTACACACGACTCACAACTGCTGACGTTCGAACATTTGCCCGAAACGCATTGCGTAATAGTGGCTTTAGGCATTGTATATACTAGCTCTATCTATATATCAATCTATTAATGTAACATCACTTGTATGTATGTACCTTACCTGAATAAACATATTTATTTATTTATTTATTTATTTATATCCGGAACAAGTGCTTCACTGACGAATTTTGTTCGAACCACAACGCTGTAAATGCTTCACCCACGTACTACAAATACAAATAATCGCCAACAGAACCTAAACACCTAACCTAACCTAACCTATGCCTATAAATGCACAATATGCTAATATACTATAATATTAATTTATATTTGAGAAAATTCCCGTTTTGAATGAACAGCATGTTAAAATTTATGAATGCGTCTGTGGGGGCGACCGCTGGATGTAATGGACTCGAGTCGAGGACGGGTTGATTTATTTCTACCTCGATCGGGAATCGAACCCGGGCCCTTAGGACTATGGCCCCCCAAGTGCTGTCCACTCAGCCGCGAGGTCCCGGGGGCGGGGTGAGGGTGTGGGCGGGAGGGGTGTAACAACCACGCCCACAGCATCACGGAACGGAGCATCCTGTTGCCGGAAACACTGGTCTTCCGGAGCGGCAGCGGGAGGTGTTGCACGTTGCATTCATCAGTGGAGCGTTCTTGACTTCCACTACCGCCAGCAGCGTCATCCATTGACGCCCCTCACTCACACCTGTTCCTGTGGCTCACTTTGTTGGTATATTGTTAAGTCAGTCAGTCAGTCAGTCAGTCAGTAATCGACATATATAGTAGGCATCCATCAGTCTCAGGAGACTATGGAGTTGCGCTCTGATGTCTTCCTAGTCAGGAGTGGCCTCTCCAGGGCACAAAGCCAGGGTAGGTTGATACGGGGGAGAAGCTGTTACCCAGGCAGCAGGTCCCCCCCCCCCTCTCCACGGCGCTGAAAGTCTCCTAGTGAAAGGCATACGCCAATACGATTGGTTGGCAGACATATATACATATACTATTTCCCATCAATGTTAATGATTTATCTACGGAAGTTCAGTCTTATATTTCGATATTTACAGACGATGTTAAGTTCATTACAAGAGTTGAAACAGAAGAAGACTGTAAGATTCTCCAAGGGCAACCCGTCCTCGACTCAAGTCCATTACATCCAGCGGTCGACCCACAGACGCATTCATAAATTTTAACATGCTGTTCATTCAAAACGGGAATTTTCTCAAATATAAATTAATATTATAATATATTAGCATATTGTGCATATATAGGCATAGGTTAGGTTAGGTGTTTAGGTTCTGTTGGCGATTATTTGTATTTGTAGTACGTGGGTGAAGCATTTACAGCGTTGTGGTTCGAACAAAATTCGTCAGTGAAGCACTTGTTCCGGAAGTGTTCGAACGTCAACAGTTGTGAGTCGTGTGTAAACCGTTTTTCATTCATAAACAGCCAGCCCGTCCTCCAAACAAAGATCCAAAAGTGATTCCATGCACCCGCCAAACCCCCTGTTTATGAATGAAAAACGGTTTACACACGACTCACAACTGTTGACGTTCGAACACTTCCGGAACAAGTGCTTCACTGACGAATTTTGTTCGAACCACAACGCTATAAATGCTTCACCCACGTACTACAAATACAAATAATCGCCAACAGAACCTAAACACCTAACCTAACCTAACCTAACCTAACCTAACCTATGCCTATATATGCACAATATGCTACTATATTATAATATTAATTTATACTTGAGAAAATTCCCGTTTTGAATGAACAGCATGTTACAATTTATGAATGGGTCTGTGGGGTCGACCGCTGGATGTAATGGACTCGAGTCGAGGACGGGTTGAAACAGCGGGTTTGGCGAGTGGATGGAATCACTTTTGGGTCTTTGTTTAGAAGACGGGCTGCCTCCCCTCCTCCTCCACCACGGAGACATGGTCTTTCATTGGGTGATCCTCTATCTCAAAGAAATTGGTTGATGAAATAGTGCATCAATCAAAATAGTGTCTGATCAAGACCAAGGCTCTGTCCTCTGCCTCTTCGCTCAGTATCAGCGCTGTTGACTTGTCTCAGACACACATCACCGCCACAATTAGCACCTGGGCCAATAATATTCCTTGGAGAGGCTTCAGCGTGTGTGGCAGCCCGCGCTGCTCAGGGACCTCGGGTCAGATTCACGAAAGTACTTACGCAAGCACTTACGAACGTGTACATCTTTTCTCAATCTTTGACGGCTTTGGTTACATTTATTAAACAGTTTACAAGCATGAAAACTTCCCATTCAACTGTTATTATTGTTATAAACAGCCTCCTGGTGCTTCGGAGCTCATTAACTGTTTAATAATTGGAAACAAAGCCGCCAAAGATTGAGAAAGATGGACAGGTTCGTAAGTGTTTGCGTAAGTGCTTTCGTGAATCTGGCCCCTCTACTGCACTCTGAGTACCAGTCAACCTCCTGAGCCAAATGGTGAGTGGTGCAAGGGCGTCCCCGTCCACCACGTCGGCCTCAACACGCCCTCCCCCTCGCGCACACACACACACACACACACACACACACACACACACACACACACACACACTCTATGGTAACTATGGTAATACTTTCTCGACGACCGAGGGGTCCTTGCCCTCACAGGTGTCCTCTGGCCGTGACAGGGAGACTGACACTTGTCACACAGCTGGGTCTACACTTTCTAATCATTTTAGAATAAATTCATGCACACAAAACACTAGTGCTTGAAGGACTGTATACACCAGACATTGTGTAGCCCTTCAACATGAACCATTCAACAGTGTTATTTCTTAAGACTTACTGTATGTATGAGAATACATCAGTTGATGAATATAAAAGTGTACACTTGAAGTCCCTGGTTCCTCACAGTGACCACTGTGAGTTCCTCATCCCTCACAGTGACCACTGTGAGGAACACACACAAGTCACTGGGCTGGAGATACACACCTGGCAGTCTGCTCCATACTCAGAGTATATTTATAATCCTCACCTGTCATGAGGGCGAGAGATGTGCAGACGACGAGGGAACGGAGCCAAGCCTCCATGGTGGAGGGTGTGGCACGTGGAGGGTGTGGCACGTGGAGGGTGTGGCACGTGAAGGGTGTGGCACCTGGAGGGTGTGGCACGTGGAGGGTGTGGCACCGTGGAGGGTGTGGCACCGTAAAGGTGGTGTAAGGCGAGGAACTCCGCCGATCCTCCCGTGATGCTCCTTATCTTTCCTAGAAACAGTAATAGATATAAAAAATCAATACATATTTAACATATTACATATATGACCTATTCCTCAACAATGCATATCACCAGACACACACACACACACACACACAGGGCCAGCTACGAGAGGTCCCCCGGCCCTAACAGGCGGCCTCTTAGGATGGACATTAAGATGATACCTGGCGTCCCAAGCTGGCCACCAACAGTATTTTACCGTCCTCAAAGAAACCACTTACGGAATCGAGAGGAAACCGTACAGACTTTTGGCCGCTTAACCCTTCGCTAAGTGGACTCCAGACACGCGGGGAAACACAATCCTGGAAGAGCAACTGCGAGGAACATGTATATATTTGGGGCGGTCAGAAGCCGTGGATACCAACACTCGCGCAGGTCAATGTTTACATTATTATACACAACTGGCGCTAAATACAACTGCTCTGGTACCGTGGCTGCTACAGCAGACCTGGTGCCTCTGTCAGGTCAGTACCGGCCTGGTACTGGGCAGACAAACATGGGCGACAACCCATGTTTTGACAGTCACTGGCGACCACCGTGCTTCAACAGTCACTGGAGATAACCCATGTTTCAACAGTCACTGGAGATAACCCATGTTTCAACAGCCACTGGCGACAACCATGTTTCAACAGTCACTGGCGACAACCCATGTTTCAACAGTCACTGGTGACAACCCATGTTTCAACAGTCACTGGCGACAACTATGTTTCAACAGCCACTGGCAACAACCCATGTTTCAACAGTCACTGGCGACAACCCATGTTTCAACAGTCACTGGCGACAACCCATGTTTCAACAGTCACTGGAGATAACCCATGTTTCAACAGTCACAGGCGACAACCCATGTTTCAACAGTCACTGGCGACAATCCGTGTTTCAATAGTCACTGACGACAACCATGTTTCAACAGTCACTGGCGACAATCCGTGTTTCAATAGTCACTGACGACAACCATGTTTCAACAGTCACTGGCGACAACCATGTTTCAACAGTCACTGACGACAACCATGTTTCAACAGTCACTGGCGACAACCATGTTTCAACAGTCACTGACAACAACCCATGTTTCAACAGTCACTGGTGATAACCTATGTTTCAACAGTCACTGGCGACAACCATGTTTCAACAGTCACTGGCGACAACCATGTTTCAACAGTCACTGGAGATAACCCATGTTTCAACAGTCACTGGTGACAACCCATGTTTCAACAGTCACTGGTGACAACCCATGTTTCAACAGCCACTGGCAACAACCCATGTTTCAACAGTCACTGGCGACAACCTATGTTTCAACAGTCACTAGCAACAACCCATGTTTCAACAGTCACTACTACAATATCCATTAGCTCAGTTTGGACCAGTCATATCCCCTCACCGGAGATAGTGAGGACGAAGTGTCACTGGACGCTTGGAGACCAATCCCTGGCAGAGGACAGCGGGCAACTGAGCCCCGTTTTCGTCCGTCTCCCAGTACGTGTGTGTGTGTGTGTCGTGAGAGAGTGGGGGTCCCGGTGTGTGTGTGACACAGGGGATGAATGGGGGAATGTGTGTGTGTGTGTGTTTGCCAGGTATGCCATATGCTGTCCTCGTTCTTCTGTTGCTGTGTGTCTCTCGTGTTTAAGAAGTCCATCATGCCTTGTAGTTTTTGTCTTAGTTCTATTTTTCCATGGGATTCTCTCACAAAATTTCTGACCTTCTGATATTTGATTTATGTGAACAAATAGGTTTAGTCCTGCAGATTGGTCTCTCCCTTTTCTGCAACTTTTCCAGGAGTTCTTTTCTGCAACTTTTCCAGGAGTTCTTTTCTGCAATTTTTACCAGATTTGCTCTCCATGTCTTTTCTTTCCCTCTCGGGTCTGTTGATTCGCACTCAATTTGCCATGATTGAAATGTCCAATTACTGCAAGCTGTGTGTGTATATGTCCTGTTTTAAATCTGTGCTGCCTTCCTGCTGAAAACTGTTGTTCTCTCCAGGATCTATTATTCTCAACCTGATTTCTTTCTTCAGCACTTTAAACGGAATGTTTATCAGTCTATCATTTATTGCTCATTGTCTGTCCTTTATCTGAATATTAGAACTACGTTTGTCTTCCAAAATTCTGGGCGATCTCCTGTCTATAGTTTTTAATTAGTGGATGACAATGTACTTCTTCCCGCCTCCTACAGCAGCTGCGGCAATATTATGATTGGTTCTGCTGAATCTGTCGCATCCAGTTCCTTCAACTAATGACAACAATGTAATCTAGTGTTCCTTCTAACTGTCTTGCAACCTTGATACTTTTGCAAAGACCTCTTGGAATGCTCTATTGAGTTCCTCACACACACACACCTCCGTAGAATTCTTCTTTGTCGCCTCAGCTCTATGGTCTCTTACCGATGTTTTTTCTCTTAATGCGGCTATACAACAGCTTAGGTTGGTCCTTAGCTTTGGCTGCAATGTCGTTTTCAAATTGCCTCCGAGCTTTCCTTCTGACTCTTGGACATTCATTTTTGGCACTCTTTAGCGCCTCTATTTTCCTCTGTTGCAAGTTCTTTCAAGCTTATTATGGCTGTTTCATTGTCAACTGAAACTAAGCCTTTGTTCTGCGTGCCCTGGCCAGCTCTTCTGTGTGTGTGTGTGATGGACTGATCCTGTGACTGTGTGTGTGTGTGTGTGTGATGGACTGATCCTGTGACTGTGTGTGTGTGTGTGATGGACTGATCCTGTGACTGTGTGTGTGTG